TAATAGTGTGAAGTGTAGTCAAAAAATGTTTATTATTATTATTATTATTATTACTATTATTATTATTGTAGTAGTAGTAGTTGTTGTTGTTGTATGAGTAGTTTTAGTAGTAATAGGAGGAGGAGGAGTGATAGTAGTTTAGTAATAGTAGTAGTAGAAATAGTAGTGGTATTAGTAGTAGTAGCAGTAGTAGTAGTAGCAGTAGTAGTAGTAGCAGCTGTAGTAGTAGCAGTAGTAGTAATAGTAGCAGTAGTGGTTTTTTCATTATTAATATTATTATTATTACCATCATCATAACAATAATAAATATTTATACCAATATGTGCAACATCTAGATGGCATCATTCCTTTGAAACATTGACAGAGCAAAAATTTAAACTATCAGATAAACATGGAGTGTAAAAACAATCCTTTGACTTTGCTTTGCCATATGTAAGATGATCGCATAATCACACACACTTTTACGCGCGCACACATAAACACTCACAGACACACATAAACACACACACAACCACACACTCACACATAAACACACACACAACCACACACTCACACAAACACATAAATACAAACATACACACACACACGCCACACACACACACACATACATAAACTCCAACATAGACATACCTATTCATATACACGCACACAAACGAAACACACACAGACTCAAACACACACACTCACACACATATACACACAAACAAACTCAGAGACACATGTATGTACATGCATACATATATAAAGTAATAATTACACCTCTCTTTTTCTCAAATTTTATTTTTTTGTTCTAGTATTCTACACATTTGTGTGTGTGTGTGTGTGAGCGTGCGTGTGTGTGTCTGTGTGTGTGTCTGTGTGTGTGGGTGTGTGTGCATTTGTGGGTGCTTAAATATTACAAATAAATATTTAACGGTTTATATCAGATTTTTGTAGCCTTAGATGTGCTACATCCAGGCGAGATTGTCTTGTCTGCGCGTGAGAAACTTATCAATTCATTCATTGAAATATAATAGTAAAAACAATAATAAAATAATAATAATAATAAACATAAAATTATTGTGATAAATTAACGAAAATAATATAATATAACGCTAAATAAGTTTCTATAGGGCAAGTAAATGTAGAAATGTTAGTACAAAATGTAGTGTTAGTAGTGAAAAAAATACTATTTTGGATAGATATGAGCCAAAAAATACTTATTTTAATAAAAAAAATTTTTTGTTTTTTTAAAAAGAAGAAAAAAAAATCTCATCTGAAAAGCAGACAGATGCTATCAACAATGTTGTAAGAATAATACAAACCATAGAAATAATAATAATAATAAATATTATTATTGTTGTTGTTATTATTATTATTCCCATTTAGATGAAATGATCTTGCTTATTGTTTTACGCTGGCTGGTTTCAAAGTGGTGCCCCTTCCATCCCGAAACATGCACTCATTACAAAGTTCTTTTTATCATTACTTATTATTGTTGTTATTACGGTTCGTTCTT